CTGAATGTTCTCTTGTTTTTCCCATGACGAAGAGTAGCTAGAGGTGCATAACCAAACCCAAGTTAGCGCTCTGTGAGGCGAAATGAATGACTTGTATGTGGGATGAGTGCAGCCAGGTGCTGCTGCTGCTGCTGCTGTGATTACAGATTTCTCCTGAATCAAGTCCCACATGCAGGAGCCGCATTTAGCCGCCTCTTGAGTCCCGCATGGGGGCCGGGGGAGGCATGAGTGTCGGGTTGCATCAGCACCAACAACAAGCGTTGCCGGGAAGAAAAGAGCGGCCAGCTCTGCAGATAGCACTTTGACCTTTTGACCTCTGACTAAGTTCGTTTTTCAACGCTGTGCAGGAATGTTTAAGAAGCCCACAGAACCATACATCACCAGGAACGCAGATGATAAGTTGATCCTTGGAACAATTTCCATCATAACGAACAATCCCCGCCGCTGGCAGCCGCACAAAAACGGGCCCTTGATGAATGAGTTGTTTACCCACTTGAGTTCAGCGCCGCGCCCCCAATCGCCAAAGCGCCACTTCATTATGAGGCTCCAAAACAGGAAGCTGGAGCTTGTTCATGTGTTTTAACGGGCTAAATAAGTGATATGACATCCCGTTTTAATGCAGTTATCAGCTCAGAACGAGGCGGCTGCTACACAGCAACAGAACAACACCTCCAAGTGGAGCTGGCCACCTGCCAGGGAGGCTTGGCTGATCATTTCCCACCCAGCATGCACCTCACCGGCCACTAGCGTCTCCCTCCAGCTTGGAAAGAGCTCACTTCGCTGGCGGAGAGGTGGAGCTCGTCCCCTGTGATGTTTGGTTTGTCTCTGTGGAGCGCTGGCCTCTTGTGTTGCAGAGAAGTGCAGCTTGACCCGTCCTCACCGAGAGAAAGGGAGTGTGTTTGGAAATCCTTCTGGGAGAAATTACTCATGATTATGTTTCACAACTGGGCCAACACAATGGGTCAGGACTGCATCAAACACTTCAACATCCTGAAATGGATTATACATACTTCTGTCTTTAAAAAATAAATCACATTTCACTGTTTGTCTTTACTAGAATGCTTGTTCAAAACCTACATTTTAAACATTTTAATAATTATCAACACAAATATTGTAAATATCTACTCTTCCTGTAGTTCAGCTCATGTTTATCAATAATTAACATGTTCAGCAGCGCAAAGTTTAACATGACTGAATGATTGCTTTGGTTTCCACTGATGTGATTCAGTTCAGTAAATTATATCCAAGTGTGTAAATGTTATTTTATTTCCCTTTGAGATTAATAAAGTATCTTTGAATTGAATTTGAATTGAAACCCTCATTGGTCCAGATTCACTTTGAATTCAAATCGATTCTATTGATTGTATCTGTATCCATTCATCCGTCCGTCGAAAGCAATCCGTCGGGTGAATTGCATATTCTCTTTGCAGCTTTATTCTCTGTGAAGATCTCCATTGTAATGGAGTTACTTCTTTCCTGCTGGAATGTAAAGTGTTGTAATAATCTGAGGAAGGCTAACAGGCATTTCCTTTTCATATTAAAAGCCCAAAACCCTGGTGAGCTGGAAAGTGGGTCAGGTGTTTAGACATTTTGCAGGGGAGGTGTTGCTGAAATGTCCGCAGCTAAAGTAGGTCACAGTTCTGCTCGATAAATCTCCGCTTTGAGTTGAACAGAGAGCTGTGTCTCAGTGAAATGCTACCAGGTCATTCCTCTCCACCTGAGGAAAGAAAACAGACCCGCTTGAACTTAAAGTTGGGAACAGAGAAGCTGACGGAGGGAAACTGAGCTGGCTGCTGGAGTCTCTTGGACTCCATGCGAGTTTTTTTCTGCCATTATTAGCATGCAGGTGATCACTTTTCATCCACTTGGCACTAAATGCAAATTGATGTCTGGATCTATGGAAAAGTTGCATTGTATTGGGTCATGTTGATTGATTTTTCTAATAAAAAGTGGCAGCATCATGAATGGAGCCAGGCGGTTACCATAGCACCCGACAGCGAGTTGCTTAAAAGATGCCCTGTTGAACTGCGTGACCCCAATTATAGATCCTGAAACACTTTTTCAAGTCTTCATCTTTGTTCTGAGAATGTGTTTCTGTCTTATCTTACATTCATGCATCTCAAGGTTCCCTCCATCTCTGTTGTCTGGCTCTGATTATGATGAAGCGGCTACAATAAGTCTGAATTATCTGCAGCGTTCGGGTAAACAAAGCGAGCCGGTCCTTTCATGTCGTCTCATTCCACTGTGTGAATTTCTCCCTTCAGACAAAGCAGTTTTTTTCTCGTTCGCTGCTGGGTGGAAACCGGGCCGTTGCACAATCCGGCAGCTTCCCATCATATCCGCCTTCGTAAACTTCAGCACAACCCAGAAGATTGATTCTTGCGCTTTATGTCCTTCATATCCGGGCAGCTATAGCTCACCTTTGGCAAGCGGCTCCATGTATTGTCACCTGTGATTGATTGGAGCTCTTAGCAGCCGTGTTTGCAGTTCACATGGCTCCGAGCTCTTTGAGACGACGCTCTGCTATCGCAATACTAGGAAATGCATTTAAAAAAAAAAAGAAAAGCTCCATTTAAACATGCAGGCCTTAATGCTGCAGGTCAGAGAGAATCCAATGCTGCAGTTTAATTAGTTGATATAGAAAGTTTTTGTTCTCCGCATGATTTAAAACATTATTCATTTGTATGTTTTTATTTTAGAATATATTTAAATATGAAGCTTTTAGGTAGAATTATTCTTTTGACTAAATTTATTTAGTTTAAAAAGTGAATTTGTTTTTCAAATTTCTCTTAATTGAAAAAACAATAATTTAAAAGGAAATTAATCAATTGCTAATAATATTCATTTATAAATGTTTGCTTGGAAGTAAAATATGCACATTTATATAGTATTTAAATGTCGGTTTAGATTTTTATTTAGAAGCTTTTAGATTAATTTATTCAAAGTTTTCACATCATTTAGTTGTTTTAATCATTAATATGAATTTATGTACTTTAATATGAATGTTTGTATTGCTCTGGAAATTTTTTCAGAAATTTACTTAAAGATTATTGATCCATAATTTCATATTTATATTTTTAAAGATGTTAAGTTAATTTAAAATATGTATATATATTTACCTTTTCATGTACATTTTTTATTTCTACTCATAGAGTGTAGAGTCAGTTGTCCCGGTTATAAAATAAATATATTTTTGCAGCTGACAAGATTTTTTTTTTTTTAAGTCTGTCACCTAAAACAATAAGAATCAAATTGAGGTCAGATTTAATTTACCAGCCTGTAAAGACGGAGCAGCTCAGAGTTGCTGCTTTATTTCTGATCTGAACAAAAGGAGATCCTGCCTTGCTGCTGCATTCACTGCAAATCACGTAACACGGGAACTCAGAGTTGCATCGGGGGGAACATGCAGTCAGACTTCTGTCTTTTGAGCACTGGGGCTTCTCTCCCATGTTCTGTTGCCCCGGGTGCTGGATGTTGGGCAAAAATAACAATCCATCAACGCTGTCAGATCAAAGGAGTTGTCTCTAACCTCCGGATGCGGTGCTATTCCTGCAGGGCCATATCTAATGCACTTACGTCCCCATTATTGTCTTGTTCTTTCCTTTTCAGCAGCTTTTCTTCACACATAATTCCTGTTACGGATGTGAGCGACTCGCTCCAGGGCATTGTGGTGATGATAGATAGTTTCCTCAATGCTAATTTTTTTTTTTTTTTTTTTTTTTTTCCCCTTCCTACTTTTAAGTGCAGGAAAAGTTGCAGGCGTTCTCCGTCCGATTATTCGCCACGTCTCCTCGTTGCACATATGCGAAGCAAACCAATTATTTCTGCATTTTTCCGCCTTGCACATTCCACTCGCCTCAGTCACAGATGCAACAGTTCCCGGCTGCACCTGTTGCTGCGAAATACTCCTCCACTTCAGAGAAAACGATGTGACGAGAGAAAAGCGCCGGCGGGTCCGGATGGGAGGCAGCGTGACCTCTCTGCAGCTGTTCCTGCTGGCTGCAGAGGGGAGGCTGCAGGGCTCTCAGGGAGGCGTTAACCGGCTTTACTTAAATGAACATCCAGTGCAGAAGATGAGAACTAATTTCTCATGTCTGCGGCGTAAATTGCTCAATTAATCTCATATTTGTTTGAAGAACTCTGCCGGAATGAACAACAAGCAAACATTTATTGGCGTGGGATTTCTCTCCGTTTTCATTTAGCTGCACCTGGAGTCTGTAATCACGCACAAGAACCCCAATCGGAGCATTTCACCTCAGAAAAATTTGATTTCTTTTGTGTTTTTTTATGTTAACCACTCAATGTACCTCAGCAGAGCTTGTTGGAAATCACTGATTGTTTCTCATTTGAGCTGCAGGGCTTGGAGAATAACACAGTTTTCAGGAGCTTTTTGATGTTTGATTTACATGTTTAGAAACTGTTTCACATCAGAATATCCTTTTGAAAGAATAATTATACCCTTTTAATATTTCTACATTCTTCACATTACTTTTATTAAAATTCTCTACAATTTCCAGCAGCTATGCTGGAAGTAAAGATTAGTAATCGATTATTCAGACGATCGATCGGGTTTTCATTTGATTTCATTTTTTACACAATACTAGAAATACAGGAAAATATGCAAATAAGCAATTTATTTTTTTAAATAAGGAAATAAACATTTGATTGCCTAAAATGCAATGACTGCATTATTTATGTATATGCTTAGTCATTAGTTGGAAAGGATGCATCTGCAGCTAAAAAATGCATACGAAAAACTAAATGCAAAATGCACCTATGTATTGCATACAGGATTGTTCTGTATCGTTGCTCACTTTGCATCCAGCCGCCTTTGATTCCCAAATAAAGTTAGAAAATCTCAGCAGATGCATAATTTTATTATTACTTTCGCTCATTGTGTGTTTTGATACCGTTATTCAAACAAAACTAAATTACCTTCTATTTCAGTTTGGAGAGCACAAACAGCCGTACTGAAGTGAGTTCCCGTTTGTCCTCAACAGGTGCCATTCTGGGACGCTCGGAGACGCAGGAATGTGTCCTCTTCAGCTCCAGCTGGGAGAAGGACCGAAGCAACCACACCGGCACCGAGGACTGCATCGGCGAAAAGGACAAGCGGCGGCACTGCTTCGCCACGTGGAAGAACGTCTCGGGCACCATTGAGATCATCAAGCAGGGCTGCTGGCTGGACGACATGAACTGCTACGACAGGTACGCAGGGAGACTTTCAATAAGTTTGAGGGAGCAGAAGTATTGTGTCCTTACTGATGATTTAGATAACACAAATGATTCATTTTGGACTAAAGCTGCAGAAATGTGCTCTGAAATTATGAATGTTTTATTTTCTTCAACTGAACCATGAGAAAATGCATATCCATTCAACTAGAGGCTTCTTTCTCTCATTATTTAATAACCTAAAAACATTAGTTTTGACCCAAAATTCTGTCAATGTTTTTTTCTGCACATAGCAAAACAAAAATAGCAATGAATTGATTTTAATTTAAGTAGTTCTTTCTAAAAATACCACAATTTCCCATTTCTGCGTTTAAATATAACGTCACAATAACAGTATAATTTTAACTCCCAAAATAATTTGAAAACATTTTAGCACTAAATTATAACTACTGCGCTGTTCTGTGAGGCTAATTAAGAAATGTTGAAATTGAATTGCTAAATTGTTAGCATGATATGCTAGCTTGTTCATCTGCATGTGTCTTGGCTAAAGAATGTTGGTCTGTCTTGACTTGTTTCAAGTAACTTAGCTTAATTTACCTTTTGGTAAGCTAATGTTGTTAGTCTATCTTAGCTTAGTTCCGTCATTTTAACCTTTGATAAATTTGTATTTTAGCTTATTTTAACCTAAGTTAGCTTAGCCTATGTTAACTTAATTTATCCTACGTTAGCATACTGTTGTATGGTTTAGCACAGTATGAGTTTAGTTTGTTGACGTTGGTTTAATTTAGCCTACCTACTTTAGCTTTCTTTGTCTTTTGTGAAAATTTGTTTTCTTCACATTACTTTAGCTTAGCTTAGCTTAGCCTATCTTAGTTTACTCTGTGTTAATTTATCCTATGTTAGCTTAGTTTTGACTACACTAGCTTAGTTTAAGCTATGTCCGTTTAGCCTACATTATCTTATTTTAATCTATGTTAGCATATATTGTATGAGTTTAGTTTGGTGATTACCCTGCCTACTTTATCTTTAGTTAAATTTGTTAGCTTAGTTTGTCTTGTCTTGGCTTAATTTAGTTTAGTTTACCATATCTTAGTTTTGTTTAGCCTACATTAGTTTAGCTTATGTTAGCTTAGTTTATTTTTTGTAGGTTAATTGAGTTTCTTATTTCACCTCAGTCTGTCTTAGCTTGGTTAGGTCATTTTATTAGAACCTTTTGTTAAAATTAGTTTTGTTTACAATGCTTTAGATTAATTTATTCTACCTAGCTTATCTTCGCTTAGCTTAATTTCAGTTGCATTAAAATATTTGTATTTCTTTCTTTCATTGAATTTATGATTCATTAAACTGAATCATAATTTGTCCTTCAGGTTTTTGGTCAGATCTTTGCAGGATTATTATCAGATAATGTTCAATCTGCTGGCGGTGGCTTTGAGTTCCTGTCAAACCCATCGATCAGATGTTTCATTGATTACTGAGTGATTAAAAGGACCGTTTGCCCAGATCTTAGATCTCAGTTCTGAACTCAAACCTGAGTTCAGATTCTGTGAAGCATCGCCTCAGTTTTCATCCAGCTCAGAGATGGAAGTCTTTGTGAGGTAGCTTTACATTTATCGCCTGCAGACAGCTCTTCCTTTCTCATCAAGACAAAGCCAGCTCATCATGACTCACTGGCAACTCTAAACACATTTAAATTCACCTTGAGCACATTTTTTTTGTCCCTCGGTGTGCTTCCCATTCGAATAACTCGCACAAGGCCACATTTTAATTACTGCAACTGACAGAAATGAAAAAGCTTTGCGCTTGAAACTGATAAAATTTCTGAAAAGTCTAAAAAAAGCATCTACTAATGAAGTGTGTCTTCATAGTTTTCTGCTCACTAGAATTTGAAGCTGGTATCAGGAGTTGGTTTGAGGCAATTTGTGTTTTCCTTTGATTGTCAAACGATAAAGTTGCAGTCCGCTGCGTTCAGGTGCCTCGGTTCAGACGGCGCCGGCTGGCCTCCCTGGAGAGCGCAGAGCAAGTCGAGGGCGGCTGCCACTTCCTTTGGCTTTTATCTGATGACTCTGAGAGAGTGAAATAGTGTGTGTGTGTGTGTGCGTGTGTATTGGCTCACGTAGGAGTTATTTAATAAATGTTGTGTTTCATTGTCCTCTGTGGCTGTGAGGGAATGAAAAGAAGAGAGAGGAGTGTGTGTTCATGCTTTTTGCACAACGTCACATCTTTTATGTTCGATGCACTCTGAATAATAAAAGTGCCTCTGCGTGCAGAGATGGATCGCTCTGTGTGTGTGTGTGTGTGTGTGTGTGTGTGTGTGTGTGTGTGTTTCTAATTCCCACCTCGATGTCCTCTGCAGCTACGAGTGTGTGGAGAGGAAGGTGAGCCCCGAGGTTTTCTTCTGCTGCTGTGAAGGCAACATGTGCAACGAGAGGTTCATGTACGTCCCGGACACGCAGCCGCAGAACGACACCAGCCACTCCACCGCCTACAGTACGTACAGCACAGCTTCTCTCCTCTGCGCCATGTTGGAATACGACATCAGAGAAAAATAAATCAAGTTTAATCATTTTGAGCATTTCTTTAATTAAAAAAATGAGGCTGTTCTGATGATTAATCACTTAAAAAATTGATACATTCTGCAGGTTTTTTCATTAAAAATATGGTAAAAGATGCAATTCAATTAAATTTTTAAACAGAATCTTAAGCCTTCAGCTGCCTAAAATTTAGTAAAAGCATCCTTGATTATTATGGAAAGGATGCAAATAAAAAAACCTTCTAACATCAACATGTGAGAAGCTCAGTGTAGAGCTGATCTGTTCTGAGCCAGGAAAAGTTGCTCCATAGAAATGTTTTGCAGAATTTGAACTGTGTGAAGCTAAAACTGCAACTTGAGGAGTTCTGGGTATAAATATAAAATTTAAATGTGTATATTTTTGTACAGTTTTTGATCAGACATTGTTCTGAGTGTGTTGCTCTTTTAGCAAAAGGCCTTTTATAGAGTTTCTATACTCCAGCTGTCGATGAGTCGATTACTCGTTTCAACCCTAAACAGCAGCTTTAGTGAAAAAGTCCAAAGCAAGAGCAGAGACCGCCTGGATGGAGGCTGTACTGAAGTGTTCAGATATCCAGAGTTTGAACAGGAAGCTGCGTCTGCAGCAGCCTCCTGTCCTCCCAGTGTTTCCTCCGGCAGCGGCTCGTCCGACATCCTTGCACTTCTCACTTTACAGCCACCAGGCTCGTCTGTCTGCTTGTGTTGGTTTGGATGTGACTGAGAGAAACCTGCAGACAGCCTGTTGTGTAAAGAAGTCGTCGCTAACAGCCTGAGAGGCCCACAGAGCAGCTGGCGAAGCCCCTCCCCCACCCGTTGCCGGCTGCTGAATCAAACAGCGGCACCTTGTTACGGGCCGAGCCGGCAGAGAGCGCTGGTATTTTTGGCTGCAGGATTACGTTATGTCACGAGATGAATTTGCTAATCCCGCCCCACTCTTCTGTGTGTGTGCGTGCGTGTGTGTGTGTGTGTGTGTGTGTGTGCGTGCGTGCGCTCTGATATGATCTCTAAGCACAGCAGCAGTAAGCCGGGGTTATTGCCGCCCAATCGGACGCGTCTCCTAGCGTTCATTCCTCCTCTCCAACCACTTCCTGTCTGTCTGTCCCCGCAGCCACTTCCAACCCGTTCTCCCCGAAGCCGGCGCTGTTCAGCACGCTGCTGTACTCCCTGGTCCCCATCATCGGCCTGGCCGGCGTCGTCCTCTTCTCCTTCTGGATGTGGAGGCACCACAAGCTGGCCTACCCTGCTGCCCTCGTCCCCACACATGTAAGTCTCACCCGGCGCTCGGGCGTCCGAGTTTCTCTTTCTGTGTATTCACCCGCGGTGACCTCACCTTTACCTGTTAAATGCTAACAGAGGAAATGGAAACCGTCTCAGTTCCTGAGTGTCACGTTAGTCTTTCCCAGGAAATGGAAGCAGCAGAAGCAGAAAGCAGCTTTGTCACAACTTGAATCTACTGTGTTTGACTGTAATGTCCTTAATCTGGACTCAAACATCTTTTACTGTTTAGAGCAGAGAAACGGTGGATGCTCAGGGCTTCACTGAGAGTAAAGCAGAGATCAGTTATGTTTATAGTTCCTGTCGTAAATTTACCAAGGTTTAAATACGTTAGCTGGTCCGACTTGAAAGTTCATCCAAGTTTCTCTGTTTCACAAATTCCTTCAGTCTGGAGGAAGGAAACAGTTTGAAAGGAGAAATATTACAAACTAAAATCCGTCTGTCCAGCCGTCCATCATGTCCTGACCTCAGCTCTGTAAACATCTGAGCTCGTTGCTTCCCAGGTAAAAATATCTCAGTCTTTAGTCATAGTCGGTTTCCGTGTCGTTTCAGTTCAGATCCGCTCAAACTCCGGATCTATCAGGACTTCTGCCTAGTGAGTTTGCAGAGCAGCTTTAGAATAAACCAAAGGAGAAATGTTCGGCTAAAATCCACAAGAAAAAGGTCGAGCACAGAGGAGGCGGGGTGATGATATGGGCAGCTGAAGTTTGGTTCAAACTGGACCAACATTCCTCCACATCGACTGAATCAGATAATTGTTACTTCAGATCATCTCAGAGGCTCGTTGAATCACCAGACAGACACGTCTTTGTTCTTTTAAGTTAAACTATAAATCTATGAAAAAAGCCTTGAAATGTTCCGCTCATGAACCTCGTGTGAACCTTCTGCTTCATGCTTTTTTAGAAATCTCTTTCATTGAATTTCATCGGAAATTCATTGTGCTGGTTGAGTTCGAACCTTTCAGAGTCTCTTCTGGTCTCCCTACCGTTTTCTCTGCGCGCTTAAATGTTGAAAACACTCCAGAGAAATTAAACTCTTAAACTCCTGATGAATTTAGCTTCGTGTTTCTCTCCTCTGCAGCAGAGGTATACGCTGAGCTGCTCGGCAGCAGGGGGAAGAAAAGCAGAGCTTCCCAGCGTATGGAAGAGGAGTCAGGGGCCTCTGCATTATTGATGAGGCTTTATATAGGCAAACAAAACTAAACACAGAGAAGCTCGCAGCTCTGCCTCCGAGGATGGAGGTGGTGGGTGAGTGGGTGGGTGGGTGCAGTGCGGGGGAAGCGAGCGAGCGAAGAGAGACGTGCAGTTCTCTCCGCTCACTTATTGTATTTGCAGAGCGCCGAAGCTTAGCGGGAGAGAGATAAAAAGACAGTTACACAATGCAATCTGGAAACAAAGCTGATGTGCATCGGAAAAACAGCAAGTCTAAGAGGCTTATGGAGCGTTTTTACCTGCAAACGGATAAATGAGTGGGGGGGGCAATAAACGGCACCACCAGATCAGGGGTAACATATCGAGCGGCGATATGTAAGAGATTCTCTCAGCAATGCGTGAATAAAATGAAATATATTAGCCAGCGTGGAGCAAATGAAGTCATGCCGGGCGACTGTAATGGAGTTGAAGTGGATTATTGCATAAAGGAGTAGGTGTAGGAGGGCAGCAGGGAAGGAAAAGGAGGTCGCAAGCACAGGAATGTATTTAAAATCCGCTCGATGGGAATTCAAGCTGCTTCATTAAAAACTTTTTCTCGCCTCATAGTATTTTTCTGAACAGTTTGCAGAGCATTGATCTTCCTTCCTGTCAGGCTTTCCGCTTCTGTTCGGCAGATGAAATCCAAGCCGTTCATTTCCGAATTCTGGCGTCGCGTTGCGGATCGTCTTGCAGCGAGTCAGTGAAATGTCAAAAACCCAGATGTGTTTATTGGAACGTTGTTTAGGTTTTCTGCTCAGTCATGACTCGGCCTGCTCGATAACAGAGTCTCTGGAGAAAAACGCGCTGCACTTAGTCATGTATTTTTAATGTGACGGCAACAAACTGACCACACGTGTTGGATTTAAAGCATCCGGTGCAGATGGAAGGCCCTCTTGGTATTAATTGAGCCATGTTGAAGGACTAATCATGCTTTTCTCATGCATAGATGATGAGAAACTAACGTCAGAGACTAACATCCAGCTTATGATGCATTTTCTTTTCTCGCTTTGTTTTTGTTGGCGTCTGAAGGTCTTTGCTCTGGTTTCTCTTTGTGTTGCCTTAACTTGTCTTGTGTGGTTAGTTTTAGATCACGTTTTGGTTGGATTATACCTAAATTTAGAATAATTTAGAATCGGATTAGTTGCTTTTTATTATGTTTTATCTTCACCTGGAGTTTAATCTTTGTTTTTTTTTGCTATTTTTTAAAGTGTTTTTTTATTTTTATTTCTCAATTTTAGCATTTTTATCCCAGCTTTGTAATTCTGAGGAGTTTAGGTCCCATGTTTGTCGTATGGAATTTTTAAGGGCGTTTTCACATTTGATTTTTAGTTTTCTATCGTCACACCTTGGCCTCTTCCTCTCGGTTTGCACCCACCCAACATTTTTTTGGTGAAAACCATGTTTAAAAGTCTTCAAGGCGAGAAATATTTTGCCTAATCGTCAAAGGTTGGCCAACATCTTCACCAGTTTCCAAAGGTACCTGTGTGACATAAACACATGTACCAATACGCTAATTAGCTGCATAAATGTTACAACATACTATTTTACTCAACTGTGAGCCAGTTTGCTTCAACACTTGCAATTCCCAACACCAAAGTGAAACTGAAAGTTTTCCCAACTTGAAAAACCTGCTGTCTGATGTCACTGTCAGTCATTCTTGCATTCCTTTGGTGAGAAGTGCTTCCAGTAACATCGTCATGCTGGTTTGGTTTCTGTTGCTGCACAGAACAAAACACATTTCAGAGACTATCTTTAAACCTGCTGCCTGATGTCACTCCCAGTCATTTTTACATTGCTTTGGCGTGGAGTGCTGTTAGAAAAACACAAACCAGGGATTAACCTTTCACATTTTTACCTTCACAAATACATCCCGTTCTGAATATATAATACATTTGAATGCGATTATTCACTTTCTTTCTGTTTGGCTGTGGAGAAAGAAAACCGAGCTGCTTCTGCATCTCTTCATATATCTGTGAGGCTTACATGGGGCCAGGCTGGAGGTGGACTTAATAAAGCTGAAGGCTGGTTTATCTTTATCACATTGCGAAAAACGAGTCATGTTGGCTTTTCTTCAGCACACATTTAATTTATAGACTCTGCAGGGCGCAACAAGATCACATCCAGGATGAAACGCAGAGGAAGAAAGATGAGAACTGCATGAACCGGTGGTGTCGTCATGATTTTGCTCCGGCTTGAAGCGCATTTTTGCCACCAAACCGCCATTATTCACGCCTCGGTGCCAAGTGGAGACAAACTGGAGTCGATTGTGTCTGAATGCTCAGACCTTTAGCACTCAAACACAACTCTCACTTTAGTTTCTCCTGGTCTTAGGAGTCTTTCCAGACTAAAATCTCGATTCTAAAACTACGTGGCTCCGTGAAGGCTTCCTCGACCAATCCTTATTTAAGAGATTTTAGGTGTCTGAGCTGCGATTTGACTCCATTGTTCCTCTAATTTATTTGTGAGCCAGTCTTCGGACGGAAGTCTATTACTTAATGTATTTATTTACGTTGGGGAGGTTCTTTATTCCCACCCGGACCCATAAATCTCCAGGAATCCAGCCTGAGTCGTTCAGCTGAGGGATAATGTTGATCATCTGGCAGCAAATGAGTTGTATTGTCTTGACTTTTATTTTGGTTTAAGACGTAAATCTGTTCATATTCCATTTCTTTAAGTGTCCTTTGAACGTTCTCACATTCTGTCACTTTATATCAAGTGACTTTAGTGCATTTTGTTGATATTTTATGTGATAGACCAACACAAAGTAGTCTGTAATTTAAAAAAAAAAGTGGCATTATTTGGTATTCAGCCTCCATGAATCTACATTTGAACCATATATATGTTATTATATGTGTTTTCTACTGTGTGCATTAATGCGTCTTAAGGTATATTTGATGTTTGACCTATAAAATAGGACGTTGTTGGTGGATTAAGCTATCTGTTGGCAGCCTGTTAATACTGGAGGGCCATTGTAAATTATTTAGAATGAAGAGGTTTCACCAAAACCTCAGCTTTAAGTTTCTACAGGTTTGTTCTTAATGTGTGAAAAACACTAAAAGTTCTCAGGAGTTACAACTAAAACTTAATTTATAAGCTCAAACATGCATCCAAATACAAATCACTGCATGTTTTTGTCATTGTTGAAAGTAGCAATTACTTGTTCTATTGGTAGATTATTTCACTAATAAAACAACATTTTCTCCATGTTTTAAGTTAATATTTGCACTAGACACTAAACCAAAAATACTTGTTAGTATTTTGTCCTTTTGCAGCTAGGCTATTCTTTATTTAGCGCCGTCCATCTTCCCATCAGTTTGATGTGTTTGCCCATAGCATGATGCTGCCATCACCATATCTCACAACAGGCATGGTGTGATCAAATGTCCAGTAACATTTTGAATTTCAGGCCTTTACAGAAAATGTTTTTTTTTTATACAGAGGTCAAGTTGTACAGATAATAAACTTTTTATCCATAACGTGACAAAATGTGTTTAGGTTCAAAGGTCACCGGTAGTTTTTCCAGTTTCTTGCCTCTCAGTATCTGATGTGTGCATGTTTGAGAGTTTATGTCGTCTGTGACACATTCATGCTCGCTGGGTTTCCACCCGTCATCGACGCTAATTTTCCGTTGCTAAGTCTGCTGCTAACGTGCGACACCTGACCGTATCCATGTGTCGCCTCCATCCTCGAATCAGACGCCTGGATCTCTGACGCGACGACCGGCCTGCGTCTCAACCTGCCTCTGCTTCATCCACTAACAGACGGAACGCAGCAGTAATCTCTCCTCTTTGCTTTCTTATGCTCCTTTTCCAACAAGCACGCCTTCCATATTATGGTGGAGGTAAGAGCAGTTTCACTGACGTTCGTTTGGGTAGAGGTCGTGACCTCTCCACCTCAGTCCTGCACCACCGTTGTGTTTGCCTTGTCCAGCACCGCCTTGCTTACTCTGGCTCACAACACTTTTTGTTTTTCTCCCCCTCGCCTGGATTAATTGCATGAATGAATGTCTTTTGTTTGCTTCTGTGCATGCAGGAAAGTCGCCAACACGGCTTTGAATGCAGCCCTTCGTTTTTGTTTTTTTTTCTTTCTTTTATTCTACAAATGTTCACTTGTGGTGTTGATGTTTGTCATGTGACCCACTTTTAAGGATGTGTAGCTGCAGCTTCTTCAGTAGAACGGACGTCTCAGACCTGAGCATAAGAATAGGAAATGTTTTTGCAGGTGCGGGTTCTTGAAATCCTTGAAAACCTTGTGATTTCAAAGTTAGGAAAGTCCTGGAGAGTGCTTTTTTAATTCAAATTGCACAATTTTGTAATAAGGTGCAATCTAATGTTTGATTAAAACATTAAATGTAATAACACATAAATATCTTGTCTGAAGTTAAATCAGATGAAGCTTTTATTGTTTTAAGTTGGATATAATTTGCTACATGCTAGAAAACTTAGCAAGAAATTTGTTAAAGATCAAATTTAACTTTATTGTGTTTAAGCATTTAATTTGGGTAGGAAGGTCATTTACTTTAACATGATTTGTTAAATATTAATGAATATTTATTACTCCTAATTACTCAATAACTTATTGATTGTCTTATATTTTATACGTCAAACAAAGCTTGAAATGATTTGTTCTGGACCAATCAGGTGTATGTTAGAGACACATTTCAAAACAGATATTTGGTTATATTTTAGTTTAGCATATTCCTCCAGCAGAATGTAAAATACAACCACAATACATTATTAACAACAGTAATAATTTAATAGTGAATTGAAACTATCGTTTTTTAGTTAACTTGTGTTGTTTTTAGCTCCACGTCCAAGAAAATACTTGAGTTTTACTGTTTGAAAAGTGAAACCTGTGCAGATATTTATGTGTGAATTTGTCTGCAGACGTCAGAGGAATCAGCTCTGGTTCATTATCAGCCTCGACCAAACGTGTGTGAAAACTCAGGCTTCACGTTCCGGTTTATTTTTGCATCCTGGTTCGCATCAAAACCCAAAGTGGACGATTCATGCGGGGCCCAAAGGAGTCGTTTTCATGTGACGGACGGGGGGCTGTAACCCGACTCGGCCATAGGAGCCGGTTAACGGTTGGGAAGAACGGTGTGAAGCAGCAGTTTCTGTTTTCCTGCTTCCTGTGAGCTGCTGACTGCGTGTAATCCGCGCCTTTCCGCGGCCTTGGCGCCCTGCGATCGGACAACTGATCCGGTGGCTCCCCGGCCAGGCCGGGCCGAGCCTGAGGTCCGCTAGGCGGTTTCCAGAAGCAGATTGATTCCACAGGAATTCACTACCAGGATTAATGATGCAGTTGTAGCACCTTCATGGGTCATTACTGTTTCTCACATCTCATTGGTTCCTCTCGATTAGAAGGAATCTCTCTTGGTGGCGTTTTTACTGGTTGATGAATTATTATAATCCTCGCTGTGCTTCTGGAAACTCCAGAAACTCTTGAGCTTCACTTACATTCCTCAATTCTTGGATTATTAGGCAAAAACAAAAGGTATTTTTAAAAGTGGCACCAGGAGAGTCCGAAACCTCGACTCATTTTCATTAACAGGCGGATCGTTCTGGTTCCTTTCGCCTCTTATTAACATCCTCCTGCATTTATAAACCTGCAAAATATGAAATCAAAATGTTCCTAACTCATTCTCCTGAACGAAGTCCAAATAAACCCAAAGTCTGGAGAGGCTTAAATGGGACGACTTTAAGAAATGTGATCCAGACCAGACTGCGTTTGTGACTCAAAGGTTTGGTTCAGCGAAGACACACAAACTCCGACCTTTCATCCTGGATTTTCATTTATTCACATAAGTTTGAATTTTCTTCTGCAGAATTGCTTTCAGAATCTGATTCGTTTGCCATCTTTAAAGTCACGCCACAGCATGCATATATATATATATATATATATATATATATATATATATATATATATATATATATAAAAAGCCTTAAGCTGCTCCAAAATCGCAGTTCTGTTTCTTGAGCCATCACCACACCACCCCCATCATGCTTTACTCTTTGGAGTCAGAAATCACTCATTGGAGGGTCCTCCACTGTTCCATGTTTTCTCTAGTGGTGGGTAACATCTAACTGATGTTTTCTGGAGTCTGAAAGTCCTCTGTAACACTTTCATGATGTTTCTCATCTGTTCTTAGTCCTTTCTGTAAGTTGAGATCAGTAAGCCTACTTCATGTTGTCGGACAGGTCCTATAAAAGTGGCTCTTCATGCTGCAGCATGTCGCTCGTGAAACTGAAGTCAGTTTTCCGAACATCTAGTTAATCACCGTTTCACTTATTCATGTAAACCCAGGCTGGCTTGGATGCGTCTTTCTCTAACTGTAGCTTCATAAGGAGTTAATTTATTTGACAAAAGATGATCAAAATTATTTATTTTATGAATGGAAGTTTGGATTTTAACAGAAGTCAGGCGGTGTTTTATGTTACGCATCACATTCATCCCACTTAAAAGAGGAAGCGAGATTTCTTCTTTTAAAAAAAAAAGTAATTACATGTGAAAATGCTTTGCTGCACATGTTTTGTTTGCTTTTTAAGAAAAATAAAGCCATGAACCACATCTGGTGGATCACCCACCAAACCGTGACGCGGCTTTCAGTTGTGATGAGTCTTTCTGGTGACGACCTGTCGTCACGGCAAATCCCATCTGGATGAAACCATGACGTCAGGCCGGCTCAAGCAGGAAAACTCCACACACCTCCCTGTCGGAGCAACACTTGAGTCCTTATTTTGATAGATAAAGCCCGTCTGTGGAGATGGAGGCTGCTGTGAAAGCCAGCCTGCGCCGCATGGAGGGTCGTTTTCGCCCCGATTTGGCCTGTGTTTGGTGTGAAAGCGCCATGCAGACAGCAGGTCTGCCTTACAGCTCTCTGCTAGCTTAAATAAACATTCAGATCCTCCCTTCACCCTCACACTCTGCAAGGCAGCGCGCTCCCTCCCCCTCTGCTGTGATTTTCCCTTTAAAAATACACAGAAAGAACCAGGAGAGGTGTTTTCTCTTCGTATTTTTGTTCTTTTCTCCCTGCTGTCACAGGGATGGAGTTAAAAGCCACTCTGGCGTACTTTATTCAAAGGCCAAAGTTCACGACCAACTGTAAAATTTCCGCCTGATAAAAATCAAACCAATAAAAACTCCCGCATGCATGCCACTCAGCTAGCTTCAGGGATCCTGTCAGGACATGCCGTATAAACTCTGAGCTCCTTCTTTTACTGCGTGTGCAGTTTGGCTGCCGAGGTTTGGTGAATTAATCCGAGGTCGTACGTGTTGCCTGAAATCCTCCTTTTATTCCTCTGACAGCCCAGGACTTGGCTGGAGTCTGAATCCTGTTTTATGAGGTTAAGAAAACACACTCCCCCGATGCATCACTCCGAGCAGATCCTGCCGAGGCCTCAGGGACTTGAAAGTTGCTGCGGTTCAAGTGAAAACATGAACATCCTCGCAGGCCGGCAGCCGTTTTCTTTCTTTCAGAGGCTGAGATTTCACAGCAGCATATCTGGTTGCATCAAAGGCCGTCAGTCATGTGCTCGTCTTTCTCCTCCACCTTTTATCCCTTCGGAAATGCGACTCCGGCGCTGCATGCTTCTTTCTAGCCTCCCCCCTCCTCCCCTCTCCTCTGCTCCTCACGCTTTTCTCGCCTGTGCTCCGGCGTCCGCCGCCGCCGCCCTCTGTGAAGTCACATGTGAAAGTGATCAGCCTAATCCCGATCACCAGCTGTGTTTAACCTACTTTGGATCGGGAGCGCTCGGCTGCCCCTGCTTTGGCTTTTTGTTTGAATGGCATCAGCATGAACACGGGACGCATGCAGGAAGCGTGACCCGCCGCACTCAGACACACTGGCTCTTGTGTGTTTTTTTCTGACATTTGTAGCGACATGCAAACTCTAACAGGCTGTGGTATGCGCTATACTGCCTCATAACTTTACATAATATCTCTGGTCTTAATCTGATTACTGCGACCTCTTTACAGTGCAGTGGGAACAAAAACGTCAACACTTTGTACATTTATTACAGCCTCAAACCTTGAACTTGCTCTACATAATCAAACCACACCTGTTGTTTTAATGGTGATCCTCTGAGTGCCACTATCATTTTTTCTTAGTTGCATGTTTATATATGGTGGAAGTTTTTAGATATCTGGAGTAGGCTGGTAGTTTCTAAAATGAAACTTGTGACTTTTTGATTTCTCATAATCAAAAATACTTTTTCCATCCTTAAGGGAAATTATGAAATGTTGCTGTAGCTGATTTAGATAAAGAGTTATTGTAGATAGTAAAATGTACAGCTTTAACCTAACTAGTAGTCAGAGATTGACTCGACTGAACTGATTTTGTCCTGACAGATTCGATAATTGACTTGTAGAAAATGACTTGTGGCCATCTCTGCACATCTTGCTTCTTCCCATCTTTTGTTAAACATCAAAAAGTGACATTTTAGTATCCTTCCAGTAAACCTTTTAGAGCTTAAGACTTTTAACGGTGTGATTTTCAGGTGTTTAAAATCTGAAAGTCCTTATTGCAAACCTGCTGACATAAAATCAAACACACGTTCCTGGAGTTCAGAAATCAACAGCAGCTGTCCTCTAGGTGTTACTGGTGTAACTTCATGAGTTAGAATTGTTTTTATGTGTTGTTATTGATACTAGATATCCAGGATAGCTTGGGAAGGTCTGACTTTCACATTTCATTCTTTTCCCACGCTCTTGTAGCGTATAATTAAAGTCCACTGCTTTCTGTTTTTTTCTCCAAATATCCACAATAGCAGTCATGAGTTCTCTAATGTCATTTTTACCAATTATGACAGAGCTATCTGTGATCATTAGACACTGGACTTCATTATATGAAGTCAAACTTAACTTGGAATTACTTTCTCAAACATCAGTATTGGTTTCTTCAACATAAATATTGTAACATTTGGTGCTAGAAAAGGCAACAATCTAAGATTGAACAACCAATAATATGTTGTCTAACCTCAAGAAGAAGCTAAAATGAGACTTTTATGATTTTTACACAGCTAAATTATTTCTCGTTTTACCAGGAAGAAACCCAACAATTGTTCCTCGGTGATGAGGATGGGTCTGAAATCATTTGTGCTTGAAGGAATGACGTTTGAAGCATATCTGGGACCTTCTTTGGCCCCGTAGCGCTGAGAAATTAAAGTTTGTGACGCACATGTAGCAGAAGTTGGCTGCTGTAGATAATGAAGTGTTTTCGTGCAGCCGTTTCCTCTGTTTGTAATGTAATTAAATGGCAGTCAGCTGGAACAGTGGAGGTCAGGCGGAGGTCTGGAAAACTACATCGAGGACTGATTGTAGGGCTGGAGAAACGTCACGGCTTCGTTAAAACATCTAATTCCTGAAAAACATGCGAGATGCTTCCAGATCACAAGGATTATTTTAAAATGCAAGTGTGGAAAAGCATAAATGTAACGTTACTGCTCTATTCCTTAAAGAAAAAGTGGAGTCATTTTTAAACCATCTTGTTATTTTGTGAGACAAAGGCCAGGTCTTATTGAACTGATGATACCAATACCGTGTGAAAACATGTTTGCAAAAACTAATTGGAAGGAAAAAAAAAAAAATCAACTAATATCACAACAAAACGAACTGCAGGTCTTGTTTTCTCATCATGAGTTGCTTGAATTCAGGTCGTTGTTGCAACAAATTAATCCAAGATTTTGTTTTGTCAATATGAAATATGGAGATTTTCCACAACGAAACGACTAAAGATTGTTTTGTAGTATAGATTAGTGAGATTTTTAGATTTTTTACCAATAGTTTTTCAGGTAATGCATTGCAGAATGTTATCTGAAAAGCTAAACCTAAAGCAGAGGTTCGCAGGAGCCTCTGCATCTGTAAAGCTCTTGATTTGCAGTTTTTGGAGAAATCAAAAAATAAAAAGACACAAAGTAAAGAGTAATCAGTGGATTTCTAAGCTTTTCTCTGTGTTTTTTCTCTCCGGCTCGTTGGCTTCCAGCTGGCAGGTTTCCTATCTCAGATTCAAGCTCAGGCCGCCCTCTGGGGTTTGACTTAATTTGAAATAAATGGATCCAAACCCTGCTGGGTCTGCAGCCTCCCCTCAGCCAAAAAAAACTTCCCTGAAATCCGGGCCGAACTCCCACAAGTCCGGACAGCAGAAGGATGAAATAAAGCAATAAAACCTCTGGGTAAAACCACCAGAAGGCGTGTTGTCACCTTCTCTCTTCCTTCTGCTTCTCCACAGGATCCAGGACCTTCGCCTCCCTCCCCTATCCTGGGCCAGAAGCCGCTGCAGCTCATCGAGCTGAAAGCCAGGGGGCGCTTCGGCTGCGTCTGGAAGGCCCAGCTGCTGAACGAATACGTGGCGGTGAAGATCTTCCCCATCCAGGTGGGTCCTCCTCACCTGGACCTGCGCTGGGTTAGCAGCAGAGCGGTGAAGCTGACGGCTGACTCTTCTTCTTCTGGCGCAGGACAAGCTCTCCTGGCAGAACGAGTACGAGATCTACAGCGTGTGCGGCATGAAGCACGACAACGTGCTGCAGTTCATCGGCGTGGAGAAGAGGAACAACAACCTGGACCTGGAGCTGTGGCTCATCACCGCCTACCACGACAAGGTTCAGCAATCAGTCGATCAATCTGTCAAGTTTATTTGTGCATAAAAGACGCCACACAGTAAACCACTAACATTTTATTTATAATGGTTCTGAACAGGTGGATTTTAGTGTAGAGTGAAAGGAACTCGGTGTTTGTTCTAGATTTGCGGTGCATAGAAGCTGAATGCTGCTTCTCCATGTTTGGTTCTTGGGGTGCAGAGCAGACCTTTAAGCAGCAGATCTTTAAGTCGTTCAGTGATTTATAAACTAACAACAGTATTTTAAAGTCTATTCTCTCAGACTTTGGCCGATGTTCTCTGTCTTCCTGGTTTTAGTCAGAACGCCAGCAGCAGCAATTAATGCGATGAGTTTCTCTAGATCTTCCTTTAATCCTGTAAATGTTCTTCAGGTGACAGAAGATCGTATTTGTAACTGTCTTTATGTGATTATGAAGGTTCAGGACAAATTTCAGGCCTGATCTCGAGTTTCCAGCTGAAATAATTCAATCTGTGCATTGAATCTAGATAATTCCTCTTCAGTTTTGTTTCTGTTCAGCTGGAGACAGTTATGGTTAAAGGTTAATAATCGACTCTGTTCTTCCTGCATCTTCTAAAGTGGATCTGCTGGCTCTAAGGAGGCTTTTTTGCATCAAAATGGTTGAAAAATGTCCAATTTATTCTCGATGTGGTGGCAGAGCTCCAGCAGAGCTGCAGAATTTCTTTAGAGGCTCTCCTCTGAAGCGGTGGTTGCACAGTTCAGCGGCGTCTTCACGTTTGATTTATGCCTTGATATTCGATGCATCCGAGTAGCTTTGTGTGGTGAAGTCTGCATGCAGAGGCTTGCTTTAAATTTCCTGCAAAACTCCCCGAGTTTCAGTCTTCTCATGTAGTCGCAACGTGGATATCGAAGACGGGATTCACAGAGAAAATGACTGACTGGTAATTTCAGGGAGAAAAAGTCAAACATGTCAGAAAGAAGAACATAAAAGTCCAGGTGATTTTTTTTAACTAAAGCTGAGTTAATCAGTTCATTTGTAGGAGCCATCTGCCCTCTAGTGATCACTGTCTATAACCACACCAGTCTTTAATGGAAATAAATTATTTCTTCTTGTATTTTTGCTCCTATAATGCCACAGATTTTGTTTGTTTTATCTAAAGCTAAATAATCTCACATTTATTCCCCATTCTGATCTGCATTCATTTGTTGGTAAACAGCATTAATGTTTTCCTTCTCAATAAATCAACACAGTGTCATCAGAGCAGATTGCACTTATCTAGTATTTGACTAGATAATCAAATCTAAATTTAGATGGCAGTATAAATAATGGTACCATGTTAATTTTTTGTTTTTTTTAATCATTTTCTTTTGTGATTTGCTTGTTTTATATTGTATTTTTTATTTAATGTGCATTGTTTTCCCTTAAAGGTCATGGAGACACTTTTTATTCAGTTTAATTTACATTTGTTTTGAGTTTTTCCCCCAACTTTATTACATGTATTTGTTATATTACATTATTATTATTTTTTTTAAACTTGAAGCTTATTTTTTTGTATTTTAATCTTTCCGATTTTGATGTTTGAGCTGAAGTGAAGTCTTTATTTCAAACATGTAAAATGTCAAATGAAATAAATGAGAAAACTGATAGAAAAACAAAACCTTTACATCCAGTTCAAGTCGTAGTAAGAAGCCGAAACCTATTGAAAAACATATTGAATTTGCTGTAATTTATAACAACAGTTAAAGAAAATGCATCTAAAAATATAATTGCAGAATTTTTTTTTTTTTTAATCAAACACTGGAGGGCAGAAGCTGATTCCAGGCTGTTTTCTAGCTGAAACTGACCTCAGTCTCCTGAACCTCTCTGTGCGTGTGCAGGGCTCCCTGACCGACTACCTGAAGGCCAACGTCGTGTCCTGGAACGAGCTGTGCCACATCGCCCAGTCGGCGGCCCGCGGCCTGGCCTACCTGCACGAAGACATTCCTGGACACAAAGACGGACACAAGCCGTCCATCGCTCACAGGTAGCAAGAAGTAAATCAATTAAAACGAGCTCAGTAATTTACATTCGCATGATTTATCATTTCTCTCTCTCAAAAACTGGATGATAAAAGTGTTTAATGTGGTGCTGACAGAGACTTCATAAGTCATTTATTATGGATATTTAAAATCTCTTCCAGATCCGGTGTTAAATGTTTATTAGAGCTTAAAGTTTATTGATCTTTGAGAATGTCTTCTTACATTATTCTGCCATTACTATTATATTACTCCTTCCACACCCTGCCACGTTGCAGAAACCTGAAGTCATTTTTGTTTTGTTTTTTCTTTTTCAGGGATATTAAGAGTAAGAATGTTCTGCTGAAGAACAACCTGACGGCCTGCGTCGCTGACTTTGGCCTGGCTCTGAAGTTTGAGGCTGGAAAATCAGCAGGAGACACACACGGACAGGTGACGTGAACTCCTCCTGAGGTTTCACCTCTCCTGCTAAATCCTTACTCCTCTGATCATTCCCTCCTCTCCTGCAGGTTGGAACCCGCCGCTACATGGCTCCTGAAGTCCTGGAGGGCGCCATCAACTTCCAGCGCGACTCCTTCCTGCGCATCGACATGTACGCCTTCGGCCTGGTCCTGTGGGAGCTGGCGTCTCGGTGCACCGCCGCAGACGGTGAGGGCGACGCAGCCGCCTCGGCCGCTTCCAGCAGAGGAGCTGGGCTTGACTTGTTTGTGTCTGCAGGGCCTGTGGATGAGTACATGCTGCCGTTCGAGGAGGAGGTGGGCCAGCACCCGTCTCTGGAGGACATGCAGGAAGTGGTCGTCCACAAGAAGCTGCGGCCCTGCCTGCGGGACTGCTGGCAGAAACACACGGTGAGCTCCCGACGCACTCAGCCATTCATTGGTCATTTTATTCTCATTTTAGTAATTATCCAGGTAAAAAAAAAGACATAAATTCAAATGAAAATGTAAGCGTATAGAAAGTTTAGTGAAAGGAAGAAATGTGGGATAAAATCAGCTTTGGGGTGTTTTATGCTATGTTATATTATTATGTTATTAAGTCATCTTACATTATATCATATGTTAAAATGTTACATTAAATTGTTTTATTTTATTATGTTACATTATATAAAATATGTTACATTATATTAAATAAAAGAAAATACATTCATTGGAAAATTTTAATTCCCAGGAAGTTTAGTGGAAGGAAGAAGTCTGGGATTAGATGGTTATATATTATGTTTTATTGTTTGTTATATTTTGTTATATGTTACAATGTTGCATTATATAGTTATATTATGTCATATATGTTACATTGTGTTATATTAGAAATAAGTTCTGTGAAAAATTTAAATACCTAGAAAGCTTAGTGGAAGGAAGAAGTATGGCATGGATAATGTCAGCCTAGATGTTTATTATGTTGTATTAAATTATAATATATATTTTATATTATATTGTTACATTATTTATTGTTTTATGTTATACTATCTTATATCATATCACATCATATATCTATTGTGTCATATTAGAAATAAAAAAATTCTGTGAAACATTTAAATAACTAGGAAATTTAGTGGAAGGAAGAAGTGTAGTATGAAAAGGATACAAGGATAACATTCTTCAGTATGTTATATTACAAAAATCATGTTTAATTGTTTTATTATGTTATATTGGATAAATTCAGTGAAAAATGTAAGTACCTAGAAAGTTTAGTGGAAGGAAATGTGTAGTATCAAAAGGTACAACAAGGATAACTTATATTATGTTATATTATATCGTCGACTTCCTAAAATAATGGCCAAAGTCATTTTTTGCCAAAACAGGATTTAGGGGGAAAATGACTTTATTTTCGGAAGGTGAATATCTGTTATATTATGAACCCTGGAGATGTAGCTGTGACCTTTAACCCCTGCCGCCCCCCAGGGCCTGTCCATGCTGTGTGAAACCATCGAGGACTGCTGGGACCACGAGGCCGAGGCGCGCCTGTCCGCCGGCTGCGTGGAGGAGCGCATCAGCCAGATGCAGCGCCAGGCCCCCGTCATCGGCCCTGAGGAGATCGTCACTGTGGTCACCATGGTGACGAACGTTGACCTCCCGCCCAAGGAGTCCAGCTTATGATCGGCTAGTCGACCCAGAGGGGGAGCGACCGTCCGACCCTGGTTGGTCGACTTCCTGTCCTCCCCCTCCCCTCTCTCTTTTGTTTTTTTTAACGTTTGTCTTCTTCTTTGGTTCCTCACCGCATCGAGTCGAGATCCACCTCATTTTGATACGTGTGCCTGAGGATTTTCTGCTTCTTTTTTCTCCTTCCACCAAGCGGGACGATGACGCTTGAAGGGAAAAAACAAAACAAAACAAAAGCGACTATAAACCCCCTGGTTTGATCATGTATTGTTTTTCTATCCACACGCGAGACGAACTCGGAGAAACCTCACTGAACTCTCAGCGCATTTTAGTGTTAAAAACCAGAAGAAGAAGAAAGAAAAAAAAACAAGAAGCTGTTCTTCTTCTGAAATGACGATCGTTCTGCCAACAAAGCAACGGCTTCTGAATGTTTATAGTGTAATGCTGCTGTACATAGTGAATCACGGAGCCAGACCACCTGGTAATCATCTTCACGGGGGAGGGGGGTCCATTTCCAAACCATGCGCCTCCTTCAGCCAGCTATACCTCAGTTCAGACGCTCACAGTTTCACCCTTCCTGCTCCCTTTGGTTTCAACTTGTTGCTCGATCAACAAGTAGAGTTGAGAACTGGATATTTGTTGTTTTTATTCTTCTTACAAACGAGCCGCTCAGTATTCGCCAGCTTGCTTCTGACCCGGTTGTTCGGTTACTCTCTTTTTGATACACCTCAGGAATCTTTGCTACTCGATTTAGTTTCTCCCATTCAAAACTCCGCTTTTCGCTTCAGACCCGTCGACTTCTGCGAACCTTGTAGACGCAGCCGGTGGAGCCCCTCCCCCCACTTCCTCCTCCTCCATCCTGGTGCCATTTCTTACCTGTCTGTATTAGTTACTCTCGTCGATGTCAGGCCAAACGGATGTACAAGACGTTTTTGAGGGACGTTGAACACTGGTGCCGGCATACCTGCAGTCTCCTCAAGCTTTGGGGCGGTTTCACGGGACGCAGTTCGACGAAAACGGAGTGAAACATGAGGAAACTTCTTCCAGAGGAGAGGGAAAAAACCCAAACACATCACTAAATGCAGTTATAGCCACCAGGTTTCCACATAACACGGGTATAAATGTCACTAACTTTGGGCTTTTAACCCTCTGAGTCTTAAGTTTCAAATCTCCGCCTGGATATTTTTGCTTGTTTTATTTGTACGAAGTTCTTTAAATGTCCTGTGAGTAAATATATTTGCCCATTTTTCCATAACAACTGGAACTTTCAATATCTAGCAGTTATTTTACCAATTTACCGTCTGTCAAATGAGGGGTGAAATTACCGTAATAACTCGATATTGGCTGTAAAGCGCAACGTCTTTTCAGAAACTGTAAAGTGTCGCAGAATTACACATGCGGGCTGAAAGGGTTAATTATTTATTCAAAAATATATAAACACACCAAAATTTAAGCTACAAAACTAAATAGATAACAGTTAGTAAAATCTAGTTGTTTTGTGAAATCTTAATATAACTTAAGATCCAAACATAAATTGGGCTTTGGGTTGTTGCCTTAATGAAAGAAAAATATATATTTTTTATATTCTTGGCCAAATTGCTGCCAGTTGGGGGCCGAACAAAATCATTTCAAGGGCAACAAATGGCCCCTGGGCCACATATTGGACACCAGTGTCAAAATCTGAGAGAACCTGAGGGTCAAAAAAAATTACGCAACAATTAATTAAGCAGCAAAACTTTGATTTAACAAATAAAGTAGTTATATTTGTTGTTTAAATTAATCTAGATCCAATCCTAGGTATTGATTGGGGGAAAAAACGTATTAATTCTGAGAAATTATATTCTCTTATCACTCTCGATTCTTATATCTTTGTGTTTGTCCCTCAGCATGATGGCACTCCACCGTGCTTAACACTTAGTGAACGTTTTAGTCTGTTTCTTTTTATCTGAAATCCAAAGTTTGGGTTTTTGACGCCACATCTGAGCAACTTTTCCTTGAATACAGATGAATTTACATCCTGACAAAGATCCTTAAGCTCCAAAGCCCAAAATTAACGACAATTATCCTTCTGAGTTTATGCAAACTTCCACTTTAAATTCAGTTAAAATCCAGAAACTTAGAGCTTGAGATAAATCTGCGCACGGTTTTCTTGCAACAACAACACAGCAAACCTGAAGGAAGTCGAAGCCATCATTTTATTTCCACTCTGTAGCACGAGAACAGCGTTTGTTGCTTCCTTTCTGCTGCCGCTGCCGTTTCAAACGCAGCTCTCCTCAAAGGTCAGGGACGAGAAAAAGAAACCTCCAGCAGCCCTTCAATAAGCACTACCTCACTCGCAGGGATTAATTTTGGGGTAGAAGAGTGGCAAACGAACCAAAATCAGGAAGAAATCAAGACGACGATTGAAAGCTTCCATCGGTGCAAGTTGAAGTTGGAGAAGTTTCCTCACTTTCACTCACTTAACTCAGAAAATCCCAGAAAATTGTTTCCTCAAATGCAAAAACTCAAGCAGCGTTTGAGCCCATTTGGATATTTAACCGCTGTAAAAACGGATCAGCTTCAACTGCGATCAGGAAACCGACCCCAGCCGATAAACACCATTCAGGGATTCAGTACTATGCTTTTCTAAGTTCTAGCGAGTTTATATGCAACCAGTGCCGCAAACTTTACCCTACACCTCTGTAGGATCTGCTGCAGGAGTGGCTTTCAATACACACACACAAATACCTTGTAGCATTTTAGTTTTTTTTTTTTTTTTTTAATCCGTGACCTTGCATATTGATATGTCGTATTTATTTTTTGATTTTTTTTTTTTTTTTTTTTTTCCTGGCCTGAGGTTTCGGGGATCAGAGCTCAGGTGCGACTCTCGATAAAGTCACGCGGAGTTGGCACGTTTTGCGGTTGTTTGTCGTCGTCGTCGTTATTACGGGGTTGTGGGTGGGTTCTAATTCAGGAAATATTTTCATTAATTCACAAAGACAGTAGATATAAACTGTAACATGCTTCTTTCTATTCAGTCTATGGACAAACGACCGAAAATGAATGTTCTACAGACTCCTGGATTCTATATAAATATATATATATATATATATATAAATATAAATATATATATAAAGTGTGTACTTTGATGGATTGAGCCCGGCCCTGTATAACTGTAGAGGGCCTCGCATTCGGCTGGTGTCGTGTGATTGTGCCCTGTCCTGTAGAAAATGGTAAAAGCAACACGTTTGGGTATTCATTTATGCACCAAACAATTCAGTTTATTAAATTATATCCAGTTTATGTTCACCAACGCTCAACAAAAGCAAAACTTGTTTGCCATTTTGCCAAACCACCGTCGTCTCCCTCTCAGGTTTGGTTAAATCTGCCACATGAAGGTGTATGAATGGGTTTCTGAGCATGCAGGCTTTTACGGTTTTCCACAGTGACCTTCTCCAGCCCAGCACCTCACATTGCTGTGCGTATAAACTTCCCGTGAAACATTTGTGTCTTGTTGCCCCACTATTTTAGGCAGTCTAGGATCTGTACAGACATAATTACCCGTTCTTGACTATATACTCTGAGCTGAATCTTTCTAAGTGCGTGTTGATCTTCAGTGTTTCCTCTACATTCACTTCGTGTGTGAAAGTTGCCCGTTACTATGGTAAAAAAAAAAAAGAGAGAGAAAAAATTATTTAAAAAATAGCTCATGTTTGTGAAGCACTTGAATTAAAAGGAAATAATCAACATTAAGCCTGAGGCGTTCCTCAGGGCGGCTGTTTAGTTACCCTAACTTTTGTTTTCAAAGAGCCATTGCAATACTTCCTAATGTGAAATTACAATCATCTACCACGAGTGTTTCCAGGGTTCCTACACAGTAAAACAAAGTTTGGTGTGGAAAAAGCATTTTTATCCTATTATCTGGTATTTCTGTCATGATGGTGGGGTTGAAATTAGCAAATTAACTCATTACTTTCTCGGCACAATGAGATAATTAAGCACCAATCTTCACGTCTTTTCGTCTGGACATAAGAAAATTAAACATATTTTAGCTTAAGTTTTAAAAATGGGATAATAAAACGGAACTGAGCCGTTGCAAGACAAAAAAGGGTTTGATTTCTGATTGTTTCATCCTTTAAGATGAGGATATAATCAGAAATAATGAAGCTGACAGTCTGAATATCAAAATAATTCAGTAGTACAAGTCTTAGTAAGAGCTATAGTAATTTATGTAAGCTCCTGTCATATCAAGAAAGTGAAACCAATAAGAAAATTTGATTAATGTGTTGAGATGATGGAATAAAAACAAGCTCATCTTTTCAAAATATTTACTTTAAGATGATAAGAAAGGAATAGTAATAAAGGACTCCATATCAGCATAATAAAATAAATTCTTATTTTGATATGAAAAAATAAAATCTGGACATTGTAGGTCTTATCTTGGGATAATTAAAAAAACTAAACTCTAACATGTTAGCTTGAATGATAAAACTGCTTTAGTTCTTTTATTTTGAAGTGAGAAAATGAAATTCAGATCAACAAGCTAAATATCTTGTTTATCTCAATCACACCACCTTAATCTTTATGGTGAATTGGTAAAATAATACTGAACTTTGAGCTGTGTAGGAGCCCTGCTTCATCCCGCATTGATCTCCTGTTTCCCCCCCAACTGTTGGTAAGGACTTTAGAGGAAACATTGAACCTCGATGACTAGAGAAACACAAACACTACAGCTGTTTTTCACCCCACATTTCTCCAGACTCTGAAGTGGCAGCGCTGATCTGAGATCTGCTGGAACTGTCTCTAATGATGGCGACGGAGGGTTTCTGAAGCTCAAACCAATGAGCAAATTGATTTTTTGTTTAGTTTTTTTTGTTTTTTAACTGTGACTGTAAATTTCGTGTTGCAAAAATAATGTGAAGATAGAAAGCTATCTGGAATGTTAAGAAGAAGCAGAGAAAAGTATTAGAGCAGCGTAGAAACCCTGGAAACATCAGAGAGAAGACGACTGATCCCCGATCAGCGCTGTGGCTCTCCGCCGACGTTAACATGGTTTTTATCAGCTGAAGTGATCCACGTGATGTAAATAAATGTGTTTTTAGATTGTGAACGCTCACTCTCGTCTTTATTGTGTCTCAGGTTGATTTGTTTGAAAACTGAAGTCTCGTTTCAGGTGGAATTATCACAGAAATTTACATTTTCAGGGATAATTAGTTGATTTTCCCTGCATGTTTTGACAGATTTTAAACCTAAAATTCAGAAAACACAATCATCTTTTTAAAGAGGAGTTATTTTGGGTGCTTTTTTGTGTGAAAATCCTTCAAATAAAACTTTTTTTTTTCATTGCTGCTGCACAATATCACACTGAAACATTTCAAAATACTTCCATTAATCACGGCATGATTTTCTGCCGCCACCATATTTGTCAACCTTATCCACCAGGTTAGAAATGTTGAAAACTCACCAGACCAGAGATCTTCCTTCCACAGGACTTTCTCGCTGGTGTTTTCCTTGGTATAGAGTCTGCAACTTTTGGACCTTCTGTATTACAGTAATCAGCTAAAGTTTTAAATATTTAAGCAGTTTTTTCATGTAATAAATATTTGACAACATAATCACATGGAAAAAATATTGGCATTGCTTCAGATCTATTTGTAATTAAGTAATAACCTTTATAACCTTTATAAATAACCTTTATCATACAGGTTATTATTTGGAGGCCATTGTTTGCAGATTTGTTCTAAACTCTGTTGCAGTAAATGGTGTTTGCACATAAACGCCTCTAGGTGGCAGCAGAGAGGACCTTCAAAGCCAAAATCAGATCCTAGATTCAGTAAAAAAAAAACAACAGATACGATGAAAGTAGCATTTATATTCTTTAATAATTTATTGTGAATATTTGAAACTATTTTAACAAACGTCTAAAGTCTAGGCGAACGCCGACGTGGCCCACTGCTTGACGTCCGTGGGACACTGAGGATACTTCTGCAGCGCCTCCATGATCTGACTGTGGTCCAGCATCAGCCTCATCAGCTGAAACTCCCTCTGGGTTTTAGCCGAGGCGCCATCGGCAGGTCGGATCAGCTCCAGCTGCTGCAGATGCTCGAAGGCCTGCGGTGGGGGTGGGGGGACGTAACTATGACAACGAGGTCTACCTGGGAAGCTTGGTTGGTAAATCGGACGGAAACTTACCTTCATGATGATTGGCTGCTCAAAGTTATACATGGAGTTGGACTTCCTCTGCAGGAACTTCTTAAACTCTAAATGCAAAGAGAGCAAGTTATTAACCGCTTTTCTCGAGGTCACTTCAAAATGTGTTTGCCTGAGCTTTAGGTTTTGGCATCCAGAAATCAGAAATTTGTGTTTTTATTTCGCAGAATCAATATTTTATCTACAATGATCGACTGTTTTGGTCCATCTTGTCTAAATATATAAACAAAAAATATAATAAGGTTTATTATTTGGAGTCTAAAGTGACATAAGTCAAGTTTCTCAAACTCTAAATCTGATTGGTTGATCAGCCCCCAGTGACGTCTCCCCCCTCTAGAAACACACTTTTCATTAAGTTCACATTTCTGTTTTTAAAAATAGCTTTTATAAATATATATACATTCTAATTTTAAAATGTCATGTTTTCATTAAGTCTAAAATCTTATAAAGGCTTCCCATGTTTTCTTGAGTCCTAAAGCATTAGAGACGACTTTGCAACCCAGATTGATTTGTCAATGAGTTTGTTTCCTATCTGCTAGTGACTCAGTGGATGATGTGTTGCTTTTTCAGATCTTTTACCTCATATTTTTCCTACTTTGTGTCACTATAAGAGTTCCTACGTTTTCACAGCACTGAATATTTAAACAGTTAAAGCGTTTGTTTTTTTTTTCCCCGTTTATGCTCATGTTGGTGTGAAACTTGAAGCTGAATTATTCTGCAGAAAACAGAACTTATAGCGACTTTCTTTATCTTTGCATTGACGTCTCCAGGCCTACCGTTGTGAACCATCTGCAGATTGAACGGCTCTCCTTCATAGACGTCGTTGAGGTGCTTCATGGCGATAATCAGGCACAGCTCCAAGATCGATAAACCTACCAGAGAAGAAGAAAGTCTCGGGTTTAATTTGGCTGTGAGACTCCGGGCGGGACTCGGGTGAGCTGTTTTACCGTGGAGCATGTTTGCGTTGGCGTCGGCGAGACAGAAGCGACTGGCGTCCAGGAGATCCGTCGGCGTGATGGACGGCCTGGCCACCGAGACGCGACTCAGACACATCATCTGAAAGGAATACGTTTCCTTCTTTTGGAGCAGCAGGACATTGAATAATTCAGAAAAATCTTTCACATGTGGATAAAACCTACAGCTGGGGTTTTGAGAAAACGCACTCCGTTGAAAAGTTTTAAATGGTGGCCATGGTCATCAAGGAAATTTGATTTTTGCTCTAAATTATTCAACATTTATCCATGATGGAGACTTTTAGTGCAAAATCATTCATAACTGGATTTACAGAAATAATATTTACTAATAGTTTTTTGATTTTACAATACAATTGTGCATTAGAATCATCGTAGATAGAAAAAAAGAATAAATTTCCACCAAAAAACTCAAGGCCTCAAAAAAAAAGAAAAAAAAAAGAAATTTCTCAGCTCCAAAAGTTTAAAATCTGTGAGAAGAAAATCTAGAAAAGAAACTTTCACATTTTCTGAGCTCATAAAATCAAAATGTTTGCCTTTTGGAAATTTTCCAGAAGTTTTCTGAAATTTCCCAGTTTTCTCTAGAAAATCTTTTAACCTAAAAATTTCTGATTTTCTAGCAGAAATGTACATTTTTCTAGATGAATATGTTTGGTGTGAAATCACAGCCTACATACCTTCAACCATAGAAATCATTTGTATTTTCTTGATCTCGTGTTTCTTTTTTCTGTTTTATATTTTTCAAAATGTAAAATATATGTTTGCACTAGTGTCTGCAGTACTTATTGCCAGTAAAGATTAGCAAAAACTATTGCTAAACCACTAAAAAGATTTTTTAAAAATAGTGGAACTTAACACAGGAATATTAGCAGAAGCTAACGCTAACCACCAAGACGACAAATACAAACATTTCATGGTTGTATCCACACTTGAAAGATTTTTACAGTAATTTTTACGGTAATGTGCTGCTTTATTTATCTCACCAGCAGCATGTGCAGGGAGCGGAAGTCCGTACTGGAGTTGAAATGTCTCTGCAGAACCTCTTCAGCCGATTTGTCCTCACAGAGAGTCTGCAGGAGACAAAGTCAAGATCAAGAAATCCTGTTTCCGTTTCAGGACTTACTGACTCACCGTCACGGCGGCGTTCCACTCCTGAGCGAACTTTCCATCCGGGAAGTCGTCCGGCAGGCTGAGCTGATCCCGGATCCGTTCCAGGTACTGGGGGAACGTCAGCTTGCTCAGCAGGTACATCTGACGGTGGGAAAACCGAGACTTCACCCGCTTCTCCAACAGCTCCAACACATCCTGGAAGAAAGAACCCGGAGAGACATTAAAATCCATTTTATTTATGGTTTTGGTTGTGTGAAGTCTTATATTTCCATTCGGTTTATTGTTTTATTTTTATTTATTATATTTAAAATGTCTTCCAGCTGCAGCGTGGCATATTCTGTACAAAATTAAAGTTTGCCATTATGAAAATGATCTGAAAATGACAATATTATTATTGTGCATCGCAATAATTTCTGGGACAATTTATTATATAGACTGTGACAGGCAAAACAAGTGAATAAAATGAGAAGAAATTGAATTGGGTGGAAATCTGGTGGGTTTTTTGTGTCGTTACAGCGCCACCAATTGGCCCGGCAGACCTACTACACCATTCTCTGTGGCAATGCATCCTATTTTAAAAATGTGCCTTAGAAATTATATCTTGTCAAAAGTGCTAGATAAAGTTTGACCTTTAACCTCAGTAATGCATGTATGCATGACCCACCAGTCTGCAGGTGAGGCCGACTACAGCGACGGGCGCCTGGGCAGACTGGGAAACATCAAACAGGTTGTAGAGCAGAGTCTGGTTCTTGTGCTGGGCGAACAGGTCGAACTCGTCCAGGACGAACAGCACCGGACGGCTGCTGCTGCGATCGCCTTTCTTCAACGCATCCAGCAGGAAAGTCAAGTTCTCCGC